TACTGTCTGTGGAATGTATTTGTAGTATGATTCGTGAATGTCTACCAATTTGTGTTTCTTTGCAAGCTCTTGGTGTATTATATTTGCTACTTGATTGTATCTGTGTAAATAATCTGTCTGTGCCAAGAGCTTGCAACCAGAAGTGATGTGTTGTATAGTTTCTGGCATGATGTAACATTTCCTGCATGTATCTTATTATTATTATTATTTAAAAAGTATTAAATGAATATTATAATAATGTTCACATAATTAAGAACTAACACAAAAGTAAAACTAAAAAAAAATTTCTTTAGTTTTACTTTTGTGTTAGTTCTGAATATAATTTAAAAAAATTTTTTTTAAATTATATTCAGCTATGTCATTAATGCATTTAATCTATCAATTACTTATCATATATCAATGATAAAGATAAAAATTCATTATTTAGTTACTTTATAATTTGAAGAATTAAAATAATACCAATTTGTTATTAATGCTAAAAAATATGATAATGATAAATCAAACAGCCACAAATTTTACAAGCTATTTTTAGGCTATACTTTAATTAAATTGTTTAGTTTGTTTGTTAAGTTATGGCAATGCAACAGTTGGGAGATCTGCCTAGGGAGTGCCTTCTGGGAGGTCTTTTTAAGGGTAACTAGTCCACATTCAGGAGTTACAGACATGGAGAAAACCCAGAAAACTCCACATGGCCAGCCATCTTCGCAAGGCATGAATCCAGTGTTCTGGAAATGGAACCATTTGGCCACTGGTGGGCCAATTACATTGCTTAGAAATTTAGTACTAATAAGTAGGCAATCTCACAGTAATAAATTTAATGATTAGAATTTATAATTCAGAAACTTAAAAAATTCATTAGACTATATTAAAAATTTAATATGGAGTTAAGTTAATAATTATTAAAGTTATTCAAAATTTTTAAATATATTTTTGTGACAGTTTGTTTTTCTTAGCAATCCAAAAAATAACACTTTTTTCTTTGCACTAATCATAATGTTTCTTTGGTTTTATAAACTTAAATACAAATAATTATAATCAACAGATTATATTTATCTATTATTACTACTATAGACTGTAACTTAAAATTTAAAAAATGACAATTTGAATAATTTATTTAAAATTCATAGCAGCAAGAAACATCTTGTTTGTATGTTTTCATAATAGATAAAAATATGCAAACAAGATTTTTTTATCCATTATAAAAATAAAGTAAATATAAAAATTGAATAAATAAAAATAACATGCATGATAGTTGCAAAATTTAAAATGTCTTTTGTCTACAAATTTCTCTTTGCTTTTATTTATTGAAATTTATCAATAAAAAGTATAGTAATATTAATTATTTCAGATTTTCTCCTGGTAGTATATCTCAGCATATTTTTTTTTTACCGTTATGATCTTTTTTTTCATCTATCATCAAGTCTATTTTTTAACATCTTTTCAAAATTAAAATTTATTAATAAAAATTAAATTTATCATAACATTTAAATTATTATATTAAAGAATTACAATTTTATCATGATTTATCTTATATCTTTATATATCATGTATAATTTATTTTACATATTTTTAAAATATTTATTTTATATAACTGATTCAAAATATTTACCTAAGCTATGTCCAACCATTGAAATATTTCCAGAAAATCTAGGATTGCGACTTTTAAATAAATCATAAAGTCTATTTAATTCTGATCCCACTGCTGATATAATTGTTTGACAATAAACAGGACTACAGTAAAAAGGAATATCTAGAATTGTGTCGTTGATGAAATGTCTTAACTTTGGGATACTTGACAATGTGATATATCTTAAGCGCCTAAAACAAAAATCAATTTCATTATAAATTTTATCATAATCATCATAAAATTATTTCATAATAAACAATTTAAAAACATTCTTATATCTACACTATTGACAGATCTAAAAAGTAATGCAATGAAATAATCATAAGAAGTATTAAGTGCAGTATTCAAGATTATGATTTTATATTGACAATTAGTGATTCAACTCTTAGCTAGTGGAAAATTATATTGAAAATTAAGTTTTTCATTGTTATTTTCCAAATTTTTAACAGGTTTATTCACTTTTAAAAAATAATACACTTACAATTTCTATTGTAAAGTCATAAACATATATAATGATAAGTCATTTTACTATTCAAAACTAAAAAAAAAATTTTTAAATAATGTGGAATAAATCTCACATATTTTGAAAATTTATTATATGAAGTATGTTGTTATATATTTATTAGTGATTAACTGATTTTCATATCAGGAAGTTTCTATACTGATATGATATTTGTTTTAAACCAATATTTTGACATTATAGAGACAGTTAAATACATCTTGTGTAATAGCTAATTTTGTTGAAATTTATAAGGTTTTTAATACTCTTCATACATTGCTAATTAGGCTTCTTTAGTATTTCTTTGAGCAAAAGTAAAGGAGTGCCAAACTGATCCAATGTGAGATATCTTTTTTAAAAATGAGGTCATTTTGATTATTGATCTGAAGTTTTGATTTGTATTAAAAAAAAAAAAAAAAGTGAAATAGAGCTTTAAAAATCCCCCAAAATTGTTTTAAACAATATTTAATTGTTGGAATTTCTTGTCAGGTTGAAATAAAACAAAATTTTCACTTATTCTTTCCCCGTTTGAAAAATTTGCATATTAATGAATTGTTCAAAAATTTTTCTGAATTGTGTTGATAAAATAGTTAAATAGAAGTTTTATCATCATTTTTTTCATTTTCTATATTTTTTTCATAGATATATTTCACTGCATCTCATGATTTTGTTCTCCATCATCTTACTCCTAGTCTCCTAGAAGACCAAGTGTTATTACCATCTCCAAACTTGCTCATGACTAGTAGTAGGCATTACTTATTTGGTGTCAAAAATTTCCAAGTGTGATCACTTACATTTGACAACAAGTGTAAGAGTTCCCAAACCGCACAATAATTTGAGATTTGATTTAAGAATATAGATGAACTATAAGACAATGTTAGCATAACTTTAAAATAAAATTAAAAGTAAATAACTTGAAAAGCTAGTAAGCTATTCGAATAAATTTTCATATTGTTACATTTTTATTTTTCATCTACAACACCATCAATGACTTTGTTTCTGTTTTTGTGTATAAGTACTGTACAGTATAGATATGCTGTTTTAATAGGCCATGTCAAACACTGATTTATTCATTTTGTAAAGTATTAATACAGTACTACAATAAAATACAATTCTTTTTTGTTGTGGAATTTAAATCTTTTTGTACATTAATATCATTTAAATTCAACTGGACAATACAAAGAACATATATTTTGCAAGCTAAAAAATTTCCTCTCCACTGACTGAAACATGTTCAGATTAGCAGTGTTCAAATTAGTGGACTCTACTGTATGTTCTTTTTTTGCGTTATAAGTAAACATAAAATTTTTATACTATGATTTATATTTTGCTTGTTATTTACTGCTTAACCTCTAAGTAAAATAATACCATTATTATTATTGTAATTAAACATCATTAAAATATATGATATAAAATACTATCTATAATATTCTGCAAAGATCTTGTAATTCATTTAAAAGTTATAATACCTATCTATGCCAGTTGCTTCACTATGTAACATTGAATGCCATGACACAGGCAAAAACTCTACTCTTCCAATACGTCCATCAGCTATATGTGGCTTGAAATGATTCTCCATCAGGCTAAATGCCATAGAACGAATATCATCAACTAAAATGTAAAAAGAAAACAATAACAATACCTTATTTTGATCAGCACATAATACAATATAATTATTATTTATTCGCTTACCACATTCAATTACAGTGCGAAATCTCATATCACATACAGCACCCACACCATGAACAACAAATACCAGGTGATCAATTTTTGATGATTCTCCATCTTCAATAATGACAAAATCACTAATACCACGTTTAACAATTCGAGGCCTAACTTGATTTTCCTAAAATTTAATATAAGTTAACAACTTTTTTAAAAGAAAATAACAGCCTTGTGATATGTTTTGGCCAGCATAGCCATAAAAAATAGAAACTGCAATTATAGAAATTCACACACTCATGATCCTTACAAGCAGGGAAAAAAATTTTAATTATGAACATTTTCAGTCATTTTTAAAGACCATCTTCAGGTAAAATACAAAATCGAATTCAGTGAAAAAATAAAATTCAGCAGATAAATTTCAGAACAGAGAATGCCAATTAGTCTGAATTAAGAATAGAAATACAAATACATAAAAATCCACAATGAGTAAATATTAAATTTGTACAAAAATTTATGTAATGGTGATATAATAAATGATCCATGTAAATAAAGTTAAGCACCCCATAAACATATGGAGATGTTAATCCTAGTTATGCCTTATTCAACTCGTAGCAGTCCCCAGACCTGCCTTGAGTTGAAAATTTTTATTCTACTTGAAGATAGTCTTTAAAAATGATCAAAAATATTCATAATTAAATTGTTTTTGCTGCATATAAAGGTTTCACAAGTGTCAGAAAATAAATATAGAATATATACATTGTTTTTTTAAGTTTTTTAAAATAAACACATTAATTACAAGAACCTTTAATTTACAACATTATGAATTAAAGTTACTTTAGTGAATTTATTATTATTCTATTTTTGTAAAATTCAATACTACTTACAAGTACATTTCCCCATTCATCTGTGTGGCTACAGGGCAGGAAATGCCAAATAACATTTGGATTATCTATGACAATTGTTTCAGAACCAGAAAATTCAATACGTTTATGCCATAAATTATTTACAACTGCAGATTTAAAATGTTCCTAAGAAATAACAAAACATAAGATTAAAATACTTATAATATCAGTACATAACATGCATATACTTATAATATTGTATAGGTATATTGTTATAAAAAAATGCATATTGACTATTATAAATATTATTTAGCACACAATGAAGTGCCAACTTATTAAGTACACTGAATCCTTTGACATAATAGGTAGCTCTAGTAGCACATAAATCACATGGTTGACTTTTATATTATAAATTATATACCGCACTCTTAGAACCTATAACCAGTGTGATATAAAAAAAAAAAAACAAAAGATAAAGATCACCACAAAGATCAAACTGCTGCGAGTTCTTCAGGTGTGAAACAGAATTATTGATGAGACAGAGCAAACCATTAAGGAAATTTGAGAAACATTAGAAGGTGTTATGTGAGATGCATATGTATTCACCTGATTGACATATCCTGATCTTAAAGTTCAGAGTCCATCAACGCCTGTCAGGCCAGTGACAGAATGCGCCTCCCATAACCCTTCTAATGTTTCTCGAATTTCCTTAAGAGTTTGCTCTGTCCCATCAGTAATTCTGTTTCACACCTGAAGAAAAACTCACAGCAGTTCAAAAACGTTTGTAGTGATCTTTATCTTTTGTTTTTTTTTTATATCACACCAGTTATAGGTTCTAAGAGTGCAGTATTTAACACATCCTGGTGTTTTGTGGTGTAGTTTATAAATTATATAGCTTGAAATGTTGATCTAGTTTTATTCAAGTCCAGTTAAGAATGAGCAAAATATAACAATCTGAACAATTTCAAACATGGGATAATTGTGAGTGCTAGAGTATAGATTTTTACCAACAACAAAGACTTTCACATAATATTGAAATCAAGAGCAACACGAAAATTAAAAAAAATCCTGTAAACTGTGGATAATGCAACACTGTCAAAAATAGAGAAAGAATACTGCAAGAGCCATGCATGATTTTCAGGAGATACATTCCAGAAAATCACAGCTGCATAAAACATGATTGATCTTAACCTTGGCAAGAACAAGTTGTAACAGACAGGCCGTTAATAAATCTTAAGTGATACCATCCAATAGAAACAAAAGTATGCAATTCCAGTGAGCACATTAACACTGGCACAGTGTTAATTTGCTCACTGAGAAGCGGAAAGAAGATTGCCTAGTCAGATTGTAAAGTACTATATTATTTTTCCGACTTTTCCAATGATTATTGACACGACTNTAAGGAAGGACACAGACAGACAGATGGATAACAATGAAAATTTATAGGTCTACAATTTTTTCAAATTGCAGTCCAATGAGTAACAATTTTATTTTAAGTCATCATATTTTTTTTTAAAAGTTATTTTCAATATTGGATTCATTAGTTCATTTATATGAAATAAAATATTTACTTATTTAAAAATCATTTAGAATGCATGGAATATAGTTATTCTTATTAATTCTTATCAGCAATATTAGTGTGCCAAGTTCCTGAAAAAGTTTCAAGACTTTAAATTATACATTAATTAAAAAGTTTACCAGAGATTGTAAAGAACTAGAGCTCAGATGTTATCTTCAATGAAAACAAAGCAGACTTATTTTTCAAATATCTAACAAAATAATGGTCTGTAAAGGTGATTCATGCCACAGAAGCAAAAACAAAGCAAAGAATGTGTAACTCTTCTTTTGGGAGCAAATATCACAGATAATGAAAAATTGCCATCATTATTAATTTAAAAAATCTTTAGAGGCTCAATGTTTCTATAATGACAAAACATTACCTGTACAATATGCAGAAAATAAAAAGGCATGGATGAAGTCAGTTTTTTTTTTAACTGACTGAAAAAGTTACATACCTGCATTATTGCCAAAAAAAGTATTCTTTTTATCAGCAATTGCAATACACATTTGATGATGCCAACCTTGAAAGTTATAACAATTCAATTTTCATCTCCAAATGCTAACTTTAGGTAATAAATTCATTTTGTTATTTACATTTGTCTTTGTTTTATGGACCATTGGTGGTTGAAAAAAAAACAGCCCCCATATTTAAATCTCACTATATTGCTTGTATTGTGTTATTTATGATCTCATTAAAATAGTGATAGTTTATATAGCTCAAAAATTTCTTTTTTCCTTCCACTTGGCATTAATGAATCTACTGTATCTTAAAAGCTACTGTATTGCCTTTTTATTCAAAAATTTTGATCCCAATAAATCAGCAAATGAAAATAAAATTTACAAATTATGAAATTAGTCAGCAAGTATTTTCTCAAATAGAACAAAATTAACAGAAAAAAACATTAGCAACTTTTCTTACCAGTGTTTCCAAATCAATTTTCTCTTCCTGAAATTTACTTAAATACTCCTGAAGACCTAAATTCTCAAATAAGTTTTCCAGAGTCATTGCAGTTTCCTCATTATTTTTACTTTTTTCTAAAGATAAATTTTCTTCATTAGATGTTTGAGATAAATTATCTTCAAGTGATGATGAATTTGAATCTTTAGGATCAATTTGATGTGCCAATATATCAAAAAGGATTAGTGATCCTGAAATTTAAATAATTATACAATCATTAAATCTGTAATAAAACACAAAAGTATAAAGCATAAAACTCAAGTAGAGAGATCAGAAATAAGTATTAAAAAATATATAATCTGAAAAATGATAAAATAGTTCTTATAAAAATAATTACTACTAATCAATCATTAATAAATTATTATGATTATGTTGGGTTTACCCCCGTATTCACCAACGCGAGTTAAACAGAGAGTTGACGAACTCGAGGTTAGATGTAACTCGAAGTCAGATTACGAGTTACTCTTCTTTCGTATTCAGATAAAAATTTAACTCTAGAGTTTCGCTACTCTAGAGTTAATATTTTAAATCAATCCTGTGTTCGAGATTAAACAAGTCTTCTTTTGTAAGCAGAGTTCTTATTGGTTGAAAGCAAACACGTGTATGAACCAGGGAGGAGATGAATAGAATAGAATAGAATAGAATAGAAACACGTGTAGAAAATGGCGGAAAGTGAAATGGAAAGCTGTGCACGCTGTAATTTTTTTAATTTTGAGAAGGAAATTCTACTTGAATTAGTCGAAAAATATAACTCGATCATTGAAAACAAGAAAACAAATGCGATTTCTTCCAAACAGAAGAGAGGCACATGGGAAGAACTAACAAAGGAATTCAATGGTATCCCGGGTGTCACCCTTAGAAAAACCAAACAGTTATTGGACTGTTATAAGAATTTAAAAAAGAAAGCCGTGAAAGAACAGGCACAAAAAAAGCCGCGTACAGCGCCATATGAC